CTTTCTGAATATAAAAATCTCTGACAAAAAGTATTTACTGGCATGCATCTACAGACCAGGCCGAGCAAACATGGAGGAAAATTCACATCTAATATCTACAATCCAAAAAATATTTGAAGAAAACTCTGACGTGCTTGTTTGTGGAGACTTTAACTACCCCGAAATATGCTGGTAAACTCTGAAACTCACAAAGCCATGTCAAAAAGCTAACGAGTTTCTGACAAAATATAAGGAATGGAGATGCCGAGAAATAGTCAATTTCAAGACAAGACATAGAAACAATCAAAGCTCTTTACTGGATCTATTTTTAACAAGTGACAAAAAAATTATAACACAAATAGAACCCAGGTCACCATTAGATAAGAGTGATCACATTATGATAGCAGCCACCGCCCAAATAACGCTTAAGGTAAATCAAACCAGAAAAATAAAAAAACGCAACTTTAAAATTGAAAACTATGACGCCATCAACGAATATATAGAAACAATATCAACAGACATGAATCCAACAATCAAAGAATACCAACTCTTCGAAAGCACTATTACCTCAACAATTGAACATTTCTTTCCAGAAAAAACATGCCGAACGAACGATCGAAAACCATGGCTCAATCAGAAAATCTTCAAAGAAATTGACAAAAAGCGAAAACTATGGGACAATTATGTTAAAAATAAAATCGACGAAGGCTACAGCAGATACAGAATACAAAATACCAAACTAAAAGAATTAATCTCTGAAGCAAGGAAAAGCTATGAAGAAAATCTTCTAGAAAAAAATGACAAACACTTCTATTCTTATATCAAGTGCAACCTAAGCAGCCAAGTTCATGATTTAATCTTACGAGATCCAATAAATAATGACCTTATAAAAGACTCAAAGACCACCGCAAACACTTTTGCAAACCAATTTCATTCCGTCTACACCAGAGAAAACCTTACAAACATGCCAACACTGTCCATAGAGACAATGAACAATAATCAACTCACTGTCATTAACATAACAACAGAAAAAGTCACCACAGCTCTAAGTAGCTTAAAAACCTATTCAAGTCCAGGCCCAGATGGGATACCATCTATATTTCTAAAGAAATGTGCTACATCTCTAGCACCCTTATTAGCTCAAATATACCAAGATTCAATAGACAATGGTACCATACCAGAGATCTGGAAAAAAGCTATAGTGATACCAATCTACAAAAGTGGTAACAAAAACGACCCATCCAATTACAGACCCATTAGCCTGACCTGCACACTGTCCAAAGTACTTGAAACAACATCCTTTCTCTTAGAAAATGACATCATACCTCCTACACAGCATGGCTTTATGCCAAAAAGGTCTACTACAACAAATCTTCTCAGCTGCCTGGACGACTGGTCTACAAACCTAGACGAAGGCAAGCCAATCGACGTCATATATCTCGACTTTCAGAAAGCCTTCGATACAGTACCACACGAGAGACTTTGTTACAAACTGAGCCATTATGGAATAAGAGGCAAGTACCTACAATGGAGCAGCTCCTTTCTTAAGCAAAGAACTTTCTATGTTCGAGCAAAAGGAACCAGCTCTGATTGGTACCCAGTCGTCAGCGGAGTACCACAAGGATCTGTGCTTGCTTCTCTTTTTTTTATAGTGTACATTTCTGATCTGTCAAAAACTATTCAAACCAAAGTAGAATCCTTTGCAGATGACAAAAAACTATATGGAAATCCTTTAACACAACTGCATCAACTAAAGGAAGACATGAGCACTGTAGAAGAATGGACAACTACATGGCAGCTAAAACTAAATGAAAAAAAGTGTACAGTTTTACACATAGGACGAAATAACCCTAGATTCAACTACCAAATAAATAGCGTCGAACTCAGAAAAGTCTGAGAACAGAAAGACCTAGGAGTCTATGTCACCGATGATATGAAATGGGAAACCCATATATCCCACACAGTAAAAAAGGCCAATCAACTAATATACCTTATGAGACAAGCTTTCGAAAATCAAACTGTAAAAATGATAAAAAAAACTTTACACCACTTACATTAGACCAAAACTAGAATATGGCCACACAGTTTGGTCTCCTTACTATATCAAAGACATAGATCTCTAAGAAAGTGTGCAGAGAAAAATAACCAAAATTCCAATCCAACTCAGAAATCTGCCATACAAAATAAGACTGCAAAAATTCCAGTTGACAACACTCAGAGAAAGAAGAGAGAGAGAAGACCTAATTGAAACACATAAGATCCTAAATGGCTACTACTCTACAGACTTAAAACTGGAAAATATGTTCCAAATGAATCCAAACTTAAACCTCAGAGGACACCACCAAAAACTGAAAAAAGAGAGAACTGTTCTTCTTGGAAGGAAAAACTTTCTAACCAATCGCGTAGTCTACAAATGGAATTCCCTAAGCCCAGAAACGATAAGTGCAGCAAACAAGAACATTTTCAAAAATAGACTAGACCAAAATCTTTGTACCATAAACAACACATTAGTGCATTATTTTTAAAGAAGTACCAAAAACAAAAAACTAAAAGTGAAAAATCAAAAAAGCGATGGACTCATCGGTCTTAGACCGCTTTCCAACACTAGCTTGGAGGTATTCCGAAGAAAACAATTCAAGAGCCAGGAATAGACAAACATTTAGACAGAAAAATTTAAAAATTGGAAAGCAGAAATTTAGGGAAAATTGAGTAGATAAGTAGACTTAAGTATCTTTTGAATTTTCACTGTTTGGAGACACCCCAGCTTACCACAATGACCCGTGTGTCATCAAAAGAACATCCAATTTTGGACCACTTTTGTCCAAAATAGAACGTCGTACTGAAGACATATTTTGGATGTTCAGCCGACGACAGTCTTAGCGACGTCTTACTAATGTCCTTCCTTATTATGTCGCATCAGTTTCTCAATAGCTTGTTGATAGTTGTTGCGTTTTGAATATTGACAATTTAGTGTTATTATCTGTAATCAGTAGGAGTAGGTACCTAATATCAACATTTATTTTGGTAATTTCATTTAAAGTATAAACCCTGAATTATTTTCCAATCTTGCCTACAATTTAGTCAGAAACAACTGTAACATCAGTAACATTTAAAAATTTCGATGAGAAAAAAAATCCAAAAAGGAAATCTAATTTTTGGCTCTGGACATATTTTGAAATCCTGACATGCTTGACGTGAATAGTTGCTCATACTTTCAATTATATTTGAGAAAATTGCCTACAATTATGCATCATTAAAAAGAGTATTAAATTCTCTATAAGCCCTGCAAAATTGGTTTTTGTAGCTTGTGAAGTTTCCGGGATATTGAGCTTCAAAGTTGAAATTTGGTTGACATTTTGTCCAAAACTTCAAACTCGATTTTCTCCAAAAACCCTAAACAACAGAGAGTTCAGTAAAGTAGAGTAGTACTACTACTACTACTCAACTCAAAGATAGTCAAAATTACTAATTTTCAAAATGCTTACTTTTAAACACTGATTTCTTGAAAACTACTTAGTTGTACATTACATATAAGATTTTGCTACAAGACTGTAAAGGGAAAGTAACAAGCTACCTCCTAAGGGGGGAGGCGGGCTGACTCAAAAAGTGCTTCATTTTGGTTCCCCCGATACCTATTTGAGATCTTCTTGATAGTATTTTTTGTCTAAGAGATATTCCCGATTGCTACTTTTCACCCAGTATGTCCGAAGTAGCCTGAATGGAAACATCACGCAGTTATGCCGAATTATCGAGTTTTCCGCGAAAATGTTTGTGGACATTTCGAACAGGGAGCAGGCATTAAAACCACTTATATTCTCATCAGCTAACTAGCCACATCCAGCCATCAAAATGCCAGACAAAAAAAAAAGTTTAAATCCCAAAAAGTCATAAAGCATTAAGGGCGGAACTTACAGTCGCTCTTTGAAGTTTCCTCGGACCTTAAGGGAGCCATGAACGTTTAGAATTGATTAACTTGTCAAATAGTAGCAAGTGTCCATTCTAAACTCCTGACCTCCAAGGAAGACTCAAGGAAGGACTATAAATTCGGCCCTAAACCAAAGATTTCTGATATATCTTGGACCCAAAATATATATGTAATTTAATCCCTGTGAACATCAGAGAAATAAAAAATCAGGTATTCTTTGTGGGAAAGTGCAAAGAATATATATCTGAAAATAAAACCACCTTTTTCGAACTTTTTTAGTTGCCTGTTTGTCTGTGTCTAGGTATATAGAATTAGTGAATAGCTATAAGCTCGGCTATAAGTTTGTATCATATCACAAGTTTATATTTAGTACCTGGTAAGTCAAAATGAATTAACCTACTAGGGAATTGTATTATCTCCTTGATTATCTCTCAATTATTGTATATGCTCTGCACATACAGCTATCAAACTAGCTAGGTTCCGAGAAAAACAGTAGTAGAAAGTGTAGAAACTCTATCATATAGTCAATTGTAGATGATATTATTTTTCCTAATATTTTTAAGTACCTATATGTAATTTTCATTTTTGAATAAACTGATTGATATGAGTCTAGTCCAATAATACTCAGCAAACACTTGAATATGAAAATATAAGTCTTGCACTCGGTCTTGCATAGGTTGAATGACAATGATAACGATTCACACCGCTTTTTGACCTTGTGATGACTGTCTTAGTTTTCGCAATGATGGCCAAGTACCTAATCAATTGAACGAGGCAAAACAAATTTTTTGAAATAATAGTTTTTCTCTTGTCTTTGGGAGAATATAGAAAAAAATATATAATAAAGACCTCTATAAAGACAAAACTAGACTAGAGGAGAGTCTAGAGGCTATTTCTGAAACTTATGTTAGGCTTGAGTTCCAACTATCTTCAAACAAAGAACCTATAACTTCACCGATACCCTTTCTGTAGATAAATTAATAATTAGGTATGCCAAAAGTAACTTGAGGGTTACAGCCTGCAAATACAAAACACCTATACCCTGGAATATTCAATATTCATACACAAACAAAATACAAAATAAGATTTGACTTACTTTTGTTCTCCCATTGATATTGTACTGTCCCAATTTGCCATTATTTGCCATCTTATTTGCCCTGGTTATAAGGGTATCAACTCTCCCTATCAAATGTCCAATATGTAAACATTCTGGTTCCTTGCCATGCACCCAACAAATCTTGTCGCTCCTTATAGTCTTCAAATCTTCTTTGGCTTTGCCTTTTGTTGAAACCAATTGACCATCTCTGAGAGCCCCTGTATCTTTGATATTTAATACTTCGGCAAAGACAGTTTTGCCTTCTTCGTGACCTAAGAAATTGTCCAAGACGCATAAACCATAATCACTCAAGTCTTGAATAATATTTTTGCACATATCCTCTATCACATCGTCGTCCATATTATGTTGAAAAGGGGCTGCCCCTGCTAAAGCTACTTCAGGGAAATATTTTAGGCCTTTAACTTTAGGCTGTACAATGTTTTCTCCTGCAATAGGCATGACTGACTTAGCACACTTTAACGATCTTTCAGTAGCAGTTTTATCATCAATGTTATTATTTAATGCTCTACCGAACGTCTCTCCTAAACTTTCACAGGCAGCACTTAATATTTCACTTTCAGAGCTACCTTCTATTGGTAAAGAGTTTTTCCGTAAATCTAACTTTATCCTATGTTGGTTAACACTAGTCGAAGCACTATTACTGAGACTGACTGAAGCCGAAGCGCTATTTTGCTGGCAAGTAGCTTTATGTTTTCGCCAGTCTTTTTTCTGATGTTCTTTAGAACAATAAAAAACTAATTTACACCGAGCGCACCTCAACAAGTGTTCAGTTGAATTGCATACAATGCAAGCCGCCGGCTGTATATCACACTCTGAATTCATTTTCCACATGTATCAGTACTCCAGTAGCATTTAAATCTATTTGTTTATGTCAGAAGGTGGAGCCACTCTAACAGCTGATTTGAAAACAAAACATCTATTTTTGGTCAATTTCGTGTTAATTTTTCTCGCAAGTTCTTCTGTAGGGTGACCTAAAAAGCGAATTTTTACTTAAAAATAGAACAAAAAATGTATAATAAACACAATAGATTTGTTTCTGTTGCAAAAGGTAAAATTATGGCTTTTTGAAGCAGCTCAATAAATATTTTAGGTTAATAATTAATTATTATGGGAATTTTTACCGATAATCCTGCCCCGAATACATTTTTGGGTTTCAGCTTGCAATTTTTCCAAGTAATTTTAAATTTTATTAACAATATTCACTTTTTCTTTGGAATGGCGAATGGCGACATTTAATTCAAGGTCGTGGTGTGGGTATGAAAAAAAAAATGACAATTATTTTTAGCAAATTGAAAGCCCCTCGGACTAGGAAGGGAGCGTGTTCAATTTTTCTGTTCTTTTTGATCCGAACAGTTCGGTTCCTTCATTTTACTCAGAGTAGGGCTATGTTCCGATATCAACAACTGTGAGTACTGAATGTACTGAATTTACTGGACGCCGATATTATTTTCAGTACACTGATTCAGTACTGAATGACGTCTTGAATGCGTCAGTGACGTCAATAATATTTACTGGATCGACTGTAGCCAAAAAGCCAAGAACGTTAGAGCTTTCCTTTTGTGGTTTAACGTTCCCTGTTATTATCATGATCGTTGACAGGACAGCGCTGCTCGTGCTGAAAACTATACCTTTTTTTCCAGCAAAACCAGTACGCTGTTGAAAACGGAGCGGCAAATGACAGTAAAATCAACACAGTAAAATCCAGTACTGAGTACTGGCAGTTAATATCGGAACATAGCCTAGATCTGACGGCCAATATATGTACCATTTCGGAATTCGGAGTATCCATCCCGCACAAATATTTATCCTGCGGATTTGAAAAAAGAAGAGAACTAGAGTGTTTTTTTTTTTTAAATAATTCCCCAAGTCATAAATTTAGTAACTATTTTGGCAACACAAGCCTTTTCTACATACAAAATTTGAAAGCATTGACAATTTTACATTGTCATTGTATTGCCAACATAATGTCATTTTGAGTTTTATCTTTTTGAATTACATGTAATTCCAGAAGTTAACTTTAAGGGCGGGTATTATAAAACTACTTTGAGAGTTAACTTAAAGTTAACTTCTGGAATTAAAGGTAATTCAAAAAGTTAACTGTCAAAGCAGTTTTATAGTAGTTGTATTCCTTTCAAGAGCTTGAAACACTCGAGCTACTCGTTCCGGTGTTCAGCCGCCCCCGATTTGCACGGAACAGATGTGTGGCGCAAGAAACACTTTTCTGAAGGAATCGTGAAGCCCCGGAGCTGTTCCGGAGCTCTTCCTAGGTGTGAAAGGAATACAACTATTACCCGCCTGCTCTTTTCAATAGCGCTTTCGACTTTTGCATCAAAACTACACCCGATCGACCAAAAAGCGATCCGAAATGGATTTACATGTTTGGTTTAAGCCGGAGCGTTGGTCTCGGAGAGATTCACGTATTCGACTTGAGCAAAAGAACGCTCGCAAATCTCAAACGGAACGCTATTTCTTGCTCCGTCAAATTCGATGGATCAAAGAGTTTGATCAAAACAAATTACGTTCAGCCTGGCCACGTTCACCAGATACAAACGTTGGTAAACGCTTTGTGTTTTACTGTATTCCTTTTATACATCGAGTTACACCTAACGAGCTCCTCGGAGACACTCCAAAACACACAATTAAGATTTTAATTTTTTAAAATTAACATTACCGTCATTACCTAAAAGAGCTTCTTGCACTCACCGCAAATTTGGTGCATCAGGGGGAAGGGGGATGCACTATGAGCGACTCGAGTGCTTAACGCACTTTTAAAAGGAACGTTCAAGCTTTTGACATTGAGCAGCTCCGAGTAGCTCAACGGGTAAAAGGAATACAGTAATTGTTCTGCTGAACGCTATGTTGAATTTGTGTTGGAACCAATGAACTTTAACCAAAAACTGGAATGCGAACACATATTGACGAACGTGAAGCCTAGTGCCGCTGCTGCGGAGGGGATACCTGTTTTTGTCGCACTCATTATGTTAAATGGCGGAAATTGCTTCCAACACGTATTCCAATTGATGAAACCTGTGAAGGTAAATATGACAAAACTTTCCAAAACGTCATATGTCAGCGAACAACAGAAAATAACAACATTCCCCTTTGTGGCATCTGTCTTTCATGGCTACATTTTTTTGGCAGATATGGCAATGTGTGCGCATTCCAGTTTTTGACTATAGTTCATTGGTTGGAACCAAACATACTTTCCAAACGTTCGCCATTTTTGCAAACAATTTAAGGGCGGGTATTATAAAACTACTTTGAGAGTTAACTTAAAGTTAATTTTTAAAATTACATGTAATTCAAAAAGTTAACTTTAAGTTAACTGTCAAAGCAGTTTTATAATACTCGCCCTAAGTAGTGTGTAGTGTTTATAATTTTCACTTTATGTTTTGTGTGAGGTGAGTTCGGAATGATACAAAGTGGATGTCGACACTTTTTACACTATTGACACTCTGGCGTTCGTTAGTTGGTAGGAGAAAGTTTGGTGTACACTTTATTTGCGTTTGGAAATAACTTGGCGCTGGAATGGTGTAAAGATGGTGGGACACCGTCTACTCCAGGTCTACTCGGTACAAAATGTTGGTGTATTCGGTGTTACACTGCGGATTACACCTTCATCACGTGATATAAAAATACCATTCCGAACTCAACTGTGGTGACATGACAGGGTGACGTTCTATCGAATAGTTGAATCGTTCAGCAGAACCAAGAGTTTACCCAACGTATTCTGTTGGTATTTGTAGACTGTTTACAATCCGTTTTGGTTCTGGTGAACGTAGCCATTGATATCAAATGGTGTGCTCTTGTTTGGATTATAATCGGAGCACTCTCGCAGAGATCTGTGAAATCACCGCCCAGACGGAGGGTCACTCTAATTGTATTCCTTTCACACCTAGGAGGAGCTCTGGAACAGCTCCGAGGCGATAGGCGCTCATTCCTTTCGAAAAGTGTTTGTTGCACCCAATGAACTATAACCAAAAACTGGAATGCTAACACATAAGGACGAACGTGAAGCCTAGTGCGGCTGCTGCGGAGGGGATACCTGTTTTTGTCGCACTCATTATGTTAAATGGCGAAAATTGCTTCCAACACGTATTCCAATTGATGAAACCTGTGAAGATAAATATGACAAAACTTTCGAAAACGTCATATGTCAGCGAGCAACAGAGAAAAATAACATTCCCCTTTGTGGCATCTGTCTTTCATGGCTACATTTTTTTGGCAGATATGGCACTGTGTGCGCATTCTAGTTTTTAGCTCTAGTTCATTGGTTGCACCTGAGTGCTCAAGCCCGACTCAAGTCATTTAAATCCATGAAAGCCAGCGCATCTGTTCCTTTCAAATCGGGGTCGACTAACACCAGAGCGAGTAGCTCTAGTGTTTCAAGCTCTTGAAAGGAATGGTTTGAGTCGGGCTTGAGCACTCAGGTGCGATAAATACTTTTCGAAAGGAATAAGCGCGTAACGCCCCGGAGCTGTTCTGGAGCTCCTCCCAGGTGTGAAAGGAATACAACTGTGATAGTGCCTAGAAACCGCGAGTCACTTGGTAAAGCCTAGTAGGTACTCATAACTGCGAAATTCGCTCTTTTTCGACATTGCTCCGACAATTTCATGTTTGAATCACGCATTTAACGTCAAATTATCGAAGCAATGTCAAAAAAGAGCGAATTTCGCTGTTATGAGTATAGTTGCCGCCACCGATATTTGAGATTTTGAGATTCCTACAAAAAATAATTTCTTTGTCGGCGATGCCTCGATAAAAAAAAATCGCAGCAAAAACTCTACAGATAAGGGTTAACTAATTTACATTGGCGTCGTTACGAGGTTTCTCAGGGGGGGCAGAATTATAATAAGACCATTTCCATTAGCGCCGCAGGCAACCGCCGTAGGCTAATTTTTTTTGGTGCCACGCCCCTTTTTGAGCATTTTAAGGTACATACCTTGCGTTCGGTATTTTGCTCGAAGAGCAGAGCGTGCAGAGCGGAGCCGTAACCACGTGACCAGCGAGCGAACAGAGCAGTTGAACGCTGTATAAAAGTACCAGAAATTTTAATAAACGAACGCGAATGAGGATACACCGAGTACACTTTTTGAATAAACGAACGGTAAAGTCAAGCTCGGAGAACTCAGACCAAAATAACGAACGCACGGTTAGTTGATATCGATATTTAGTTACAAATGATGGTATTTTTTTCCGCAACAAATTCACTGTCCGCATCATTTGTTCAGTGCCAGGGGGGGCCAGAGGGGGCCCGGGCCGCCACTGAAATTTAGCCGCCCCTCCCTAAAAACTTGCTCTCATGTCGGCAACAATGCAATGTAACATCAGCAGCCTCTGTCGGTTAATTCGGTATTCGGTGAGCACAGGCCAAGAATCGCAAACTAACAGGAATTCTCATCCTCATAAAGGGCCCCATACACTACGATGAAACACGGCGGTTTTCATCGCCGCGATGAAACACGTCGTTCCAAAACCGAAGTGTGTGCCATGGTAGGAAAAGACGACGGTTTTCTAAAAAAACACGACGGTTTTCTACCACACACTTCGGTTTTGGAACGACGTGCTTCATCGCGGCGATGAAAACCGACGGAAAAGAACGTAGTGTATGGGGCCCATAAGGCGTACGTTCGTCAATTCTCGAGTCGGAAGGGCCTGCGAGTGACGTCACTACTAATTAGCAGCATAACAGCTTATAATGATGACGTCACCCGCAGGCCTCGATGGGTTGCTTACGATTCAGGTTGTGCTTGTTTTTTCGTCGATTTTAAATGTAGAAAAGGTGATTTCAACAAGATTATAACGATTACTGTGACCTGTGACTGTTTTAAACTCGGCTAATGCATTTTACGCCAAGTGTTGAGGTGTTCGGCTGACATGGCAGACATTTTCAGCTCAAGAAGCAGCCCTATTAGGTTGAGTGTTCTTGGGCACAGGCAACTGCGATGCTGCTTGCTGCTTTCGGTTTCCTGGGATTACCTCAAACATAATAGTGTCGACAGGTACTTCCCATTTTTTATTCCAGAGAAGAAAAGCGGTAAAATAAAAACAAATGCCCCCCCTAAATTTTTCTGACCCAGTCTGCCCCCCCTTCTGACATAGAACCCTGGCGTCGCCACTGCATTTGTTTAGGTAATTTTCTAATGGCCGGTATTATAAAACACTGAATCGATGATTGAGTTTCAACCTTGGGTTGACTCCATGCCAATTGATAGGATTCAACCGAAGGTTGGAACTCTACCATCGGTTCAGTGTTTTATAATACCGGCCCTAAGTCAAGTGAAATTCAATTCCGTTGAATGTGATAAAAATGTCAGCCAATTTTTCAAAGTACCTTACAAATTTTGAAAAAATGGAAAAAAGCAATACGAATACGAACTCCCTTTCACTGCTTTCTTGTTCAAAAGACTATTTCTAGGGGGGGCAAATGCCCCCCCTTGCCCCCCACCCAACGACCCATGCTAATTTAGCACTAAAAATTATTTTAAAGATTAAGAATAAATTTAGTCCAAGAGCTATGTTCTGGATTCGATAAAAGTACTTAATTTCTTGCATTAAATCTTTGAAAGATCTTTTGAGAAAATCCAAAAATAATTTTAATTATTTACAACTACATATTTGAACCGAATAATTTCAAACCAATATAATCTTGTACTCAAGCGGCTCCTGATACGTGCTCCCTGACTAAATGCAGGCCGGCTGATAATATAAACTTGAGTCAATTAAAGGCGATTAACCAGGCGGTTATATTGACAGATGAATAATGCATTTAACGTCATTTATTACCGATTGGTTGACAAATGACGTTTGCTTCATTGGTTATCTGTCATTTATGACCAATCGGTTAATCGCGTTTAATCGATGATAATTTTTTGTAGGAATTAATCTCGATTATCTGTGGCGAGGACTATACTAGGGTTTACTTGAATAGTGTAAAATCTGTTTTTTTTTTAAAGATAATTCCCCAAGTCAAAAATTTAGTAACTATGTTGGCAACACAAGCCTTTTCTACATAAAAAACTTGGAAGAATTGGCCATTTTACATTGTATTGCCAACATAATGTCATTTTGACTTTTATCTTTAAAAAAAAAGGCAGTGGATAGAGGTCCGAAAATTCGGATCTCTAGTGTTCATACTAAAGATCCGATAATTCTCGGATTTTCAATTTGTATATTACGGGTCCGAAAATGCGGATCTTTAGTGGTAATATCGAGGATAATATTGAAGATCCGAAAATAGATGTTTATTTGTAATTGAGTTTCTAATTCTGTCGTAATTAAGGAATATTATAATATTTCAATAAAATTGATAAAATGCTTGTATTTTTAAGGATTTATACTAGAGAAAATGCATCCTCTAATCCCTTTTATGTAGCATATAGCTAATCAAGTTTACTCGAAAATATTTGGTTGGTGCAATTTCAAACAAAAAAGTACAAAAAACAAAACTAAGTACCTTTTTATTTTTCTAAAACAAACATAAATAAAAATAAATATTTCTTTATTTTAGGGGTTGATAGGGTAAGAGGTGTGATTTAGTTCCTTCTGCACTGCATGCAAAACCAGGCTTTCTTACTAGAAGGCTGCTTTGTTACTGAACAGCACACTTTATGTTTACACCGAAGACATGAATCACACCGTAAGCAATCTTTATGTATCACTTTGTTACATATATCACAAATCCATTTTAGAATACTATTTTGTTTTTCTTCAATTCGTTTTTGTAATAAAACATAAGAATCTGGACAAAAATATGCTTCTATTTATGCTAAAGATATTTCTTCTTCAAGAAGAAATGGATCAATTTGTTGATAATGAGGAATGTTTTCCTTTTCAATTTTAAAGTTTTTATGTAATGCTTTTTTGCCAAATCATCTGTATTTAAAATTGCATTAAGCATAATCTGGTGCCTCAGTTTGGGAACTTCTTTTTGAATAAAACACTTTTATTTTTCTTAGACCTCTTTAGTCCAATTGCAGTTAATTAATGTCCCTTGGGTCTTCCTTTATGGACAAGTTTTAAAGGAAATTTAATACTTTTTATATTTTCTTCTAAATGGTTTTGTGCAGTAGTATTTGGTTCTTGGGCCAGTTCCATTAAAATGGCGTCGCAAATATCTACAAAGAATGATATTCGAGATAAATCTGTTTCTGCAGAAATCACAAAACCAGTCAGAGCAAATTTCATTGGTTGAAAACAGTCAGAAAACTAGTTTCAACCAATGAAATTCACTCTGACTGGTTTGCGATTTCTGCAGAAACAGACTTATCTCGAATATTATTCTTTGTAGATACTTGCGACGATAATATTCCTTAATTAGACAGAATTAGAAATAAACATCTATTTTCGGATCTTCAATATTACCACTAAAGATGTTTGTGTCGTGTCGCGCCATTTTTTGCTGTGAGCGTTAATTAGTTAGTGCGTTGCGTTGGTGAATTATTTAAATAATTTTGAATTATTTATCATTTATAACCTTGGATTTTGGATTTACACTGGCACTGGTCTGACAATGGCGTGTAAAGTTGCCCTTCTAGAGTGGGGCTTACAGTCATTTATCGAAGGTGAGCTATGAGTAGGTATAAATATAACCCCCTCAATGCTTTCATTAATTTTCAGATTTGGAATAATTATTGCACAAAGCAACTGAAGCTAGGATTTTCTGCATTCTTTTTTTTTTGAAAAACGAGTGTCCTTTTTGAGAAAATATAAATTAAAAATGAAAACTGTCTTATTACCTGCTTTTGCTTTTTCCAAGTAGTATTTTTTATATTAGGTATATACTTAAGTAGTTAGTTATGTAGGTATACATATACGATTCGAAATTTTGTTAGTTTATTAGGATGCATTTTCTCTAGTATAAATCCTTAAAAATACAAGCATTTTATCAATTTTATTGAAATGTTATAATATTCCTTAATTACGACAGAATTAGAAACTCAATTACAAATAAACATCTATTTTCGGATCTTCAATATTATCCTCGATATTACTACTAAAGATCCGCATTTTCGGACCCCTAATATATAAATTGAAAATCCGAAAATTATCGGATCCTAGTATGAACACTAGAGATCCGAATTTTCGGACCTCTATCCACTGCCAAAAACAGACTTTAAATAAATTTCTGATTTTATTCGTTACAGTTCTTTGTTCGCAGTTCAACTAAATCGGTTCCAACTCGATTCTGAACTAGTTAGAGTATCATGCTCCTGAAGTGTACGCTCTTCAACTGTTCGACATAAGCAGCACTGGAACGCTCTCGTCTTAACCCCCACCATTTCGGATTTCAGGAGCATGAAACACTGACAAAAGGGTTGGTGCACGAGGGGGCAGGGGATAACAGAAATGAGTAGCTGTGTACGACACTTTAAGCACTGGAACGCGCAAAGCAATTGTGGAGCACTCCTGAGCTGCTTAGGAGTAACTCAAATGGGTCACTGGAAAGCACCTCAGAGATGTATCGGTATCGGGAAGCCCTTCTTTGGAGTGCGTTCGAAATCACCCTGAACGTCACACCGAGTGCACACCGAGCCATGTATTTTTCATGGCGGGAGTGCGTTTAGAAATGGAGTGTGAAGGTAGAGTAGTTGTTTGTCAGAGTGTTCTGACGTCATCACTTGGTGTGCACTTTAGGCGCGCCTTTTCTGAACGTAATTTACTGTATTCCTTTTATACATCGAGTTACACCGAACGAGCTCCTCGGAGTCACTCCAAAACACACAATTCAGATTTTATCATTATTTTTTAATATTAACATTACCGTCTTAACCTAAAAGGGCTTCTTGCACCCCCCGCAAATTTGGTGCATCAGGGGAAAGGGGGATGCACTATGAGCCACTCGAGTGCTTAACGCACTTTTGAAAGGAACGTTCAAGCTTTTGTCATTGAGTAGCTCCGAGTAACTCAACGGGTAAAAGAAATACAGTAAATGGGTTGTTGCGCTAAATGTCAACGTCAAACCCGGTGAAAACTGCGAGGCATTTTTCAACCCAGTCCCTGAGTGGGGTAATTTGGGCGCACTCTGGGCACGTCAACTCTCGATTTCTGAACGATTCCAGCGTAACGCTCCGAGTAAGCACCTGTTAATTTACGAACGGTTTAGAGTTACTCTAGGGTCACTCTGACGCACAGAGTGCTATTTCTAAACGCAACCCTGGTGTGCACTCGGTGTGACGCCCAGGGTGATTTCGAACGCACCCCTAGTTTTGAATTCAAACTGACATCTAACATCTGCCTCACTGACATGTTTTGATTTTAATTTTTCTAGTTGTGTTTTTAAATAATAATTATTTTCTGATAATTTATTAATACTTTTCTCCATTCCCCATGGCTGATGATATCCTTTTCGATCTTTTACACTCCGAAATAATAAATTACACCTTACGAAATGTGGACGATAATGAAAAAGATAAAAACTCGGATAAAAAGGTATTGAACATAACATTTTAAAATTCCAAAACAAAACTAGAATAGCAAATTTGTAGGACGAAGATTTATCCAACCTAGAATACATAGGTTTTTCAACTGGTTACAGGATAATTGAAAGGTAAAACTCGCAACCAACAATTAAAAATAACTATTATACTAAATTGCTTTCGAATAGATTAACAAGAGAAATGCCCAGATTCAAAGACGAACTCGATACACTGAAATTTATATGCACCGATTTCTGGTCAGCGATATACAAAAAACAAATAGACAATTTAAGAACAAACCACCAAGGAGTTTATGTGCTGCAAGATAATGCTTTCAGATTTTTAAACCGGCTCTCCAATGGTAAACAATATTTAGAAGTAGCACCAAGGTATGTGGCCTTTACTTGTGGTATTATAAGGGGCAGTTTGGCCAATTTGAACGTTCATTGTTTAGTTACCGCCGATATACAGAGTTTGCCTTCTTGTAAGTTTCATATCCAAGTCCAGAGAGTTTAATACTTAATGTAATAATAATGTAAATTTGTTTGTTTATTAGTTAGGTATTACTTTTCTTAAGCTTTATATATATGTAAAACTATAGATTTAGGCTAGCCGCGCACTAGTTACTTTTTCGTTGACCAACATAAAAGTTGCTCAATCAAAAAGTTGCTGATAAATTTGTGCACCACGCACTACACTGGTGAGTTGCTTTGTTATAAAATGGATTTCGTTGAGACAGCAGGAATTATTCGTCTTATTTTAAAAAATAGAAAAAAAAAGAACAAAAAACGTTTTTGGGTTCATCCAATTATCAGTGGGAGACTCTCAAATGGGCAGTTTTATAAGCTTTTTGAAAGTTTACATAAATATCCTCCGAAAATTTTCCAATACTTCAAGATTTGCTATACTAGTTTTGATAGGCTGCTGTCCCTAGTTAAAAGCCTCGTTAAAAGCCATATTGTACGTCAGGACACTTGTATGCGGTTGGCTGTGCCAGTAGCAGAAAGATTGGCTGTAACATTAGGGTAAGACAACATAATATTACAAAAGTAGGTACTTTATTTGAAACTGAAACATTTTATTCTTAAACTGTAACAAATTCTGTTACTTATAAATACATAAGTAAAATGCTTTGTTTATATAAATAAACACATAAAAGTTGTACTTACCTTCATTTGTCTTTTCAGAAGGTGCAAGATCTTTCCAATTTTCTACAAACTTCTCAAATATTTCTGCCCACAATTTAAGTTTCAAATTTCGGCCCGAATATTCTTTTAATTTTATGTCATAAAAAGGTGGACGCTTCTCAATTTCACTAATAAATAGCTCTATATCTAAAGGCATGTTTTTAATTATTATACTTTCTTCATGAAAGCACCGCCAAAAATGGTATACAATGCAGCGAAGAACGTTTGACAAAGCCCATGCAAGCAACTAATTAATCCCAAGTGCGCGCGGACAGGTCTAGACCTGTAGGTTATATTATTTCAAGCAACAGTTGAATCGCCTTCAAAATAGATCAAGATGTAATTTTTCAGTTGCCGTGATTAAAAGGTTGCTAATACGTGGTATCTTATAAAAACAAATGCGTTTCATTTTCGCAACTATCCAGTTGCCGAAAAAAAAGTTGCTAGTGCGCGGCTAGCCTAAAATAAACTGTATTTAGTTGAAAAAAAGGTATTTTGGTTTTTACACTCACTGGCAAATATGCATTCAAATTCAATTTTTTTATTAACAAACCAGCCAGTATCATTAACAACAACAACAATATAGGGTGATTTACATAGCTCTTGCATTTGATACAGGCAGATTAGATGCTATCTCTACTAATCCACCTGCAAACTGGAAAACTTCTAATGCTTGGTAAATCAAGGTGTATAAATTCTGAATCATATTAGTAGGTAATAAGTGAATACTTTAGAGATACATTAATAAATAAACAATAAAATCTTATATTTAAAGCTCGATTTAAAGTAACCAAATAGGTACCATGTTTTCTGTTTTTCAAGCCTTTCAAAGAGAAATTAGAAAGAACTACCTCTCTTTACAATTGGATAAATGGCATCCCTGCAAATTCTCAATATAGGACTAAAATAGCCATAATTTCTCCTGTTATACAGGGTGTCCTTAGATAAACTGACACATTTTGCAGGTAAATATCTCAAAAACGAGAAAATATAACGGGATGCGGTTTGTTCTGGAAGGATAAGGATTTTTTAAAGTTTTTTTCATGGTATTGACGAATCCTGGAATTTGGTTTTACAGACATTCGATTTTTTGAAATAATTACATACTGCCTTCTTCTCGATGAAACACCCGGTGTATTTTGTCAACGTCAAAAAGCGTGACTTTTCTACATTACAAAAATTTATAATTTTTTTCAATTATCATGAAATTGAATCGTAAAAATGGCACTTTGTTGAAGAGTGTACCATCGACTGGCCAAAAAAAAAATTATAATAATTATTTGTGTTTTATATGCACTAGCATTATGAATTAATTTGTTTAATACTTGTATTGTTAGTTAACTTTGCGCTAATTGGTTAATAAAAGTATTAAACATAAATTAATTACCATTTTTTTTTTTTTTTGATTAGTCGATGGTATTCTCTTCGACAAAATGCAATTTTCACAATGCAAGCTCAAGATAATTTAAAAAAATTATAAATTTTTGAAGAGTAGAAGAATAAGGCTTTCTGACGATGACAAAATATATAGGGTGAATCATTAAAATAAGGCAGTCATTTTATTTCAAAAAATCGCATGTCTGTAAAACCAAATTTCAGCAAATTTCATGATTCGGTAAGTAATAATGTGGAAAAAACCTTTAAAAAATCCTTATTCTCCCAGAACAAACCGCATCTCGTTATCTGTCCCCTTTTTCGAGATATTTACCTGCAAAATGTGTCAGTTTATCTAAGGACACCCTGTAGGTATAATATATCAAACAGTTATTCTGTATTCTGTTTTATATATCTTGCACTCAATCTTGCAGGTGTGCATGGATATTTATGTTAACTAACAGAGGAGGACAACCAACTAAATTCTTTATAAGTTTATCTATAAAGCATATGCTCAGATTTCTCCTGCAGATTTCTAATGCAGGAAGGTGTAATAAATAATAATATAGATAATTCATCAAAAGTAATATTTTTAATAATAATCCTTTATTTAGCAAATACACGCTAGTTCACAAAATTTTACAGTTTCACCATTTTACAAAGGAAAGTACGTTACTAACAGAAACAATCAATCAATCAATAGAAACAAGAAATCATAACAAAACAATCAAAAACATCATTGCAAAATCAACTGTACAATGACATATTAAAATGGACAAAGACAAGAGTCAAAATGGATAAAATGGACAAAAACCTGATAAATATGTCTTGTTAGATTTACAAAAACTATGCTGACTTAGAAAACAACTCGGGAAACAAGATCATTTTCCCTAAGCAAAAACAATTTTAAATTTTTCTTGAAACCATTCAAAGATAAACTTTTTTAAATATTATTAGGTAACTCATCCAGACCTTTAAAAAAAAACAGAATTTCCAGCAAGCTTTTTATTTATACTTTGTATATAGAAGTTCTGTGGCTGCCTTGTATTATGACTGTGGACTTGGTTGTTAACTGTTAATTTGTTGCTCAAATAGGAGGGTGCATTACCTACTTTTATTTTGAAAATGAAAACCAAGACGTTGTACCGAAAAAAATCCTGCACAGAAAGCCATTGCAGTTGTCTAAGCATGGTCTTGATGGACGTGTACTTATCACGTGATAGTTTTATTCTCATAGTGCGGTTTTGCATTTTCTGTAAGCGGTTTATTTCATTTTGCTGCAACACATACAAAATTGTTGCGCAGTATGTAAAGTGTGGTAATACCAATGCATTAAAAGCTACTAATCTTGACCATCTTGATAAACTGTGCGAACATCTGCTAAGGTGACTAATTCCATAGCTTATTTTTGAAATAGTTGAGTTGCAGTGCTCCTTGAATGACATTTTATCGTCTATAACTACACTTAGATATTCAATTTTTTTGACACTAGCTAAAGCCTCGTTACCCATTACGATGTTATGTTGGTTTACCAAAAAAATAACTGTTTCATCGAGTGTTTCATGTTTTCCTTTTCGATTACAATATACTTTGTCTTACTCTTGTTAACCTTAAGAAGATTTCTCTTGCAATACTGATCAATTTTCCCTAGAACACTATTTATTTTAATAACTAAACGATCAATGTTTTCAGAAGATCCATAAACTAAGGTATCTCAGCGAAAAGATGTGACCTCAAATTATCCTCATCATTAGCTTTGTTTTGGTTTCACTCAGAACTAGTTTGGAATCATTCTGCACATGCATATATTATGAAACGCGTTTCCGTTTTTTCAGAATCGTAATCGAACTGTGTTGTTAGTGGTTTGGTTTATCTAGAACTATTTAGGAACAATTTTGGGATTGTTCTAGAACGGTTCTCTCAGTACTTGCTCTGAAGGAGGAACTGCCTCCCGATTCTCAACCTCTAGTCGCAACCTATCAACCCCAATTTCCCATTGCCTTTCTACAAGGAGTCGGGACGTTACGTATCGACTTAACGATTGAGAAACCCGCACCTGTTTTAGAATTTTGTGATTGGCGACGTGTTTTGGTTTTTTTGGTTCCCAATCGGTCCAGAACTAGTATTAGAACAGTCCTCGATTATTTTTTATGCGCAATCCCAGAACCGTTCCAAATTTCGACCCAAAACAAAGCTATTAACTACATTCACCATATCGTTCACATAAAGCACAAACGAAATAGGGCCCAACACACTCCCTTGCGGAACTTCCAACTCACTGGAAATTTTCTCGGACATTTTTCTATTCAATTTAACAAGTTGTCTTCTGTTTGTTAAGTAGCTACGAAACCACTCCAGTACTCTTCCAGATACTCCAATCTTTTCAAGTTTTTCAAGTAGTTTGCCTCTATCTATTGTCTCAAAAGCTCGTTGGAAATTTAGAAACACTGCGATTGTACTTTTATTGCTGTCGAAACTATTTATCCATGAACAGGTTTTCTGAACCTATAGCCTATATGTTTGAGAACCCGTCTTTCTGTTGGTCTCTCAACTGCTGGAATAGGCTCGTTCAGTGAGGTTTCATTAACCACGTTTTTTGATATTTTTGTGGAGTATTACTCACATATAGCACACAAAAAAAAATTCAGCGCAATTGGATAAATATTAAAAAAGTTATGCGGCTTTGAATAATAAAACATTATGCCTCAGAAATTCATCGCTTAGAGATGGTATGACGTCATCTCTCGAGTCAAGACGGGCTAAAGGCCGCCACACGACCAACGTGAGAGATGCAGTGACGTCACTACGTGTTTAAAAACTTCCAAATTTGGAGCTTTTTGATAATTTATTTAAATATGAACAAGGGCTCGGAAAATTAAGAAATTTTGCACAACTGCTAAACTCAATACGCTCTTTTAGAATATGTAATAAAAAAAATATGCTGTACGAGCCTATTCAGCTGGGGTCAGTCTTGGGTCAGTGTTGGGACCCCTGCTATTCCTCATATATGTTAATGACCATCCACATTCAATTTCTCAAGTTCATTTTACATCATTTGTTGATAATACTACCATTATCTGGCACCAAAGGAGCCCCATGAATCTTCATGACATTGTTACAGTTGAACTGACAGTTAGGGATTGGTGTGAATCAAATAAGCTTGATATCACCAAAAGAAATATTCTAAATTTTAAGGGAGATTTTGGTTGGCAGCCAGGTGATTGATACTGGCTTTTCAGCGAAATTTTTCGTTCTATTTGTGAATTCCAGGTTGGTGTTGATTGCCATATAACAGCTGTGTGTAGCAGACTTTCATCAGGGTGTTATGCTGTCCGGGCTGTCAAATCCAATTGAGCGTGGTACACTACAGAGTTAAACTGCAAATGGCACATTTAAAATATTAATAATAACAAAAAGTTGTACCTACGTAAAACAAAAATTAAAATTAAACCTAAAACTATGTCAATGTTAAAAACACATATAAGCTAACACAAACAATGAGAACAATGATCATAAAGCATAGAGAACAGCGAAGTAAAATAAATTAGAAACCAAAATGAATATCTATAAGAAACGTCTCAGCGTGTGGAGACTAGCTGAGAACAAGTCGATAGCTGCATAGTGGTCATTGTAGTTGGTCATCATGCGGTCAACAAATGCACCCCAGCCATAATTTGTTCGATGAGTAGCCACAAAAAAGAGATGGGTTTGCCTGGTTTGTCGAATTGGCACACAAAACTGATTTCGGAAAGCACAGGACTACAGGTTATTATTCCCTGGACCAGCTTATAAAGAAACAGTAGCAGCTGATCACGCCGTCTTTGTTCCAATGATTTCAGGCCACACCGGAGGAGCCTAATGCTGTGGTCGACGTTTTCATAGGGAATGTGATGTTTGTACAGGAGGTATTTAGCAAATTTTGCCTGAACTCTTTCAATCCATTGTTTGTGACAGTTGTAAAAAGGAGACCGCAGTATTCAAGGATGCTGCGCACCAGACAGTTCTAAAGAGTGTGGAGTGCCTGGGAATCATGTAGATGCTTTGTGTTACGCTTCACAAAGCCCGGCATCCTAAACCCTCTGTTCACAATATTTTCAATGTGGTTCTCAAACGTTAAATTACTGGCAAAGATCACTCCCAAATCATTGTAAACGCCAACATGTTTAATTATTTGGTTTTCGATGGTGTAGCAAAAAGGCTGGACAGTCCGGTTCTTGACAAATTGCATTGACTTCACCATAGGACTTCACTTCTTGACATTCAATTCCGAAAAATTGTTCCTGCATCATGCAACAAGCCGGTCCAAATCTGCTTAAAGGTTGACATGTGGACCCGTTTTCGCAAAAAGTTTGAGGTTATCGGCGTACAGAAGAAACTGAGCGTTGTGATAGCAGCTGGCTACATCATTGATGAACAGGAGGAATAGTAGTGGACCTATGTGGTCCTAGAACCTAGAAATTGCTCAAGGAGGACAATGATAAGAGATCAGGAATTGTTTGTTGAGGGATGATGCCCTCTAGACTAATATTTTAATGTTTAAATGTTCATTGGACGGTATCACTCTTGATGGAGACACTATTAGGGAAAAAAATGTAAGGTTTCTTGGGATGCACGTAGATTCGAGGTTAAGATTTGAAACACATATCGATATGCTTAATAGAAAACTATCACAGGGATGCTACATGGTTAAAAACATATTGCAAGAGCTCGGAAAACACACCGCCAAAACTACATATTACACCTTGATGGAGTCACATGTTATATATGGAATCGCATTCTGGGGATTCTCAACTCACACATCCGTTCAGTCAGTGTTTGTCAGAACAGAAAAGAGCCCTCAGAACTTTATGCAATCCAGCTTACCAACAAACCTGCAAACCCCTCTTTGTTCGGGAACGGATCTTGAAAGTGCCATCAATTTTCATTCTGGAGACGGCCTGCTTGATTTTCAAGAAGTTTCAGAACTATGATAGGGTTGAGAGCGAGGTTGAGAGCCATAGTTTAAGAAACAACAGCAATTTATCCCTACCAATCCCGAAATCTGCATTGGTGAAACATTCAATAGTTTATGAGGGAATCAAAATTTTTAATCATCTGCCAAGGGAACTAAAAAACATTGAACAGTACAAACTTTTTTCCAAAAAAAAACTTAGAGCATTCTTGATTGAAAAAGCTTATTATAGCCTGGGAGAGTTTTATGAATGACAGCGTTTTGTTTATGATTCCTTGCAAAATTTATTTGTAGCTATTATATTATTTAAGAGTTTCATAAGACGGATTATGTTACTATATTTTAAAGTTTTTATTTTATTTGTTTTATTTTATTTTATTGTATTTTATTTTTATTTTTTTATTTGCTTGTGTGATTTCCCATTTTGAATTTGTTGTTTATTTCAAATTTGTTCGTTATTTTAATCTTGGATTGGTTATGTAGTGTGGTGTTTTGGTTTTTGCCTATATTGACATGTTGTTTACAGCCTAAATCTTTTAAACATTTCGAATAATAGGTACTTATGATATACCTAGTAAACAATTTTGCTGAAGACTTCTTTCATGTCTAGTGTCACGCTGCTTGAAGCACTTACCTAGATTGTTAGTTATTTCAGACGGAACTTTTTTTTAAATTTTATTACCTGCCTTTTATGTATAGTTTTTAGGACTTACTTTGTACCTTTTGGTTTGTCAGTGATTTTGCTAAGAATTAGGACAATAAAGCTTTATTGAATTGAATTGAATAGATGGCTTGCAATATTGCAACAGTATGAGTTAAATGTGCTCACATCTATCTCAGCCGAACCCACCTGCTTAAATTTTTTCCCCTCAAGCCATTCACAATACTCCAGATTTTAACTATTTTCTTCTTCTTCTCTGAATTGCACTGAATTTATTCTTTATATTGACTGTCTTGTCTCAGCTTTGTCAATGAGGATTATCACGTATTCTCTAGACAATAAAGCTATATTTGATTTGTATATCAATAAATCACTGTAAAGAATGAACTCTAAAACATCATTTATGTAGCAATTTATGTTGCAATTGAATCCCTGATGGGGTACTTCAGATAAAACATATCCAACACATTTTTGGAACATAATTTTTATCACAAACTTCCGGGTGTATAATACAACTGCATAATATGAAGAATTTGAGAGAGTAATACATAATATAAAAATAGACTGTTCAAAGTTTGAGCTATACTCATGTATGTACCTACCTCTTAAATACCTTAGGACTTCACTAATATTTTAGCTATAATAAAATTGAGCATTTTATTTACTAGACCACTAACATATTACTTATATTTGATATTACTTTAACCCATCTGCTAATTATGAAGATATATTATTAGTCATCATTTAATCAATAAGTACAGGGTGTTCGGACAAGGACTGAACAGGGGCTTATTTTTTACTGTCCCTGTTTTTTTTTTTTGGAAAAAATCCAAACTAGTCATCTTATGTATTTCTTCCTGCAGAATTCAGTTATTCTATCAAAAAAACATTTGAAGCAAAAACAAAAAAGTTAGGCTATGGATGAAGTATTTTTTAAATGGACACTCTCCTGTTTTTTATATGATTTTTGGAAAAGTTGCATCTCTTTATGTCTTTGATGCTGAAAATATTCGATATTCCGATAGCTTTTTTCATTAGGTTTCCCTAATAATTTTAGCGTTACCCGTTTAACTTAGAACGTTTGCCACAGGTATATCAAATATTTTCAATTTGAAAGACATAAAAACATGCTAGAGGAGGCACTTCTCTTATGGCAAATGGATCTCAGACAGATTTTTATAAAATTTGGATATGCTGTAGTTTTTGAGGCTCTGATTAAAAGCCATCATTGGCCGAACCTTGTGCGGTTGATAGTTTAGCCTCCAGAGGATGCCAAAGTTTCATATAACTTGTTGTAATTTTGTAATTATAAGTTATAAAATATAAATAATTTAGGATTATTATGAACATATGCTATGTAAGATGTTTTGTATGAATATCGCAAAAGTAACGACCATATTATTGAAAGTGATTTTTCAGACACTTAAATCCTTATTTCTGTAAGGGGAAGCTACCCAATTACACCAAGTTTTATGAAACTTTGGCGCCTTCTGGAGACTGAACTATCAACCGCACGAGGTTCGGCCAATGATAGCTTTTAATCAGAGTTTAAAAAACTACATTATATCCAAATTTCAGAAAAATCTGTTGGAGATCCATTTGCCATAAGAAAAGTGCCTTCTCCAAAAATCATATACAAACCAGGGTATTTCATTTTAAAAAACCCTTCATCCATGGCTTCAGTGTTTTGTTTTAAGTTTAAATGTTTTTTCGATACAATAATTGAATTCTGCAGGAAAGAATACATGGAATGGCTCTTTTGGATTTTCTCAAACATACAAAAATAAGACCCTATTAAATCCTCGTTGGAACACCCTTTATAATTGCATTACAATCAGTATCGATGTAAGAGTTTGGATAAATAGATAATGAACTCTAAGTTAGGCTCTCTTTTTTTTAAATATGTGTATGGCGTCTTCACAATAAATTAGAAAATTTCACCTAGACCTATACAAAATGCTTCCCAAACACACAAGGATATGTGATTGAATTTTAAACAATTTTTATTTACAATTTAGTTATAAATTTTACACAAACAAAAAATAAATAATTACGTCTTTGATGATTACCTATTTTAAGTAGATTTCAAAAAATCATATTTTTGCAATATGTAATATAAGTACCTACTTAAGGGTTTCATGTTTTACAATAAAATAAAGTTAAAATCTTAATAAACTATCAATCAGTTAAGTAGTGAAAACTGGGAAAATCACAATTAAGCTAACAGCAAAAATTAAAATCCATGACATCCTGTTCAATTCTCTAAACTACTCCATTGATTATTTAACTTCAAAACAATATCCAAATGTTTCGACCATAAATCATAATCAGTATCCGGACTCAAAAATACTCGCTCAAGATTATTCTCCTTCTCGATAAATAACCTCAACGTTTTTTGTTCCATATATTTGACGGTATCACCATCGACGCTTTTGCACAACTTCAAATCTACAGTACCAAGAGGAGAATTGCAGCTTTCGTCCGATGGATAATTATAATAGCTTAAAATAGCTTTTTCCATAACGCACCATCGCTTATCCCATGTAGGATACTGATCAATTTTTCCAGTACCAACAGTCATGAAACCTCTGAGTGGTTCCGGCCAAACGACTGACGCCTCAATGGAAACCAACAATTTGTGCTCTGAATTGTTGAATGTAAATCTTTCGTTATTGATATTTAGAATATTTACGGGCAATGTCCCAACTAATTCCATCAGTGGTACCTTACAGGCTCTACGTGAAAAGGGCAATAGCATGCACCCTTTAGAATTTTTCGGTAAAGTAATGCTGTATAGTTGAATTTTAATGTTAAAAGTGTTACTAATGTTTTGGAAAATGAAAAAACCGCCCAAATCTATTAAACCTTGACTGTTGGCTGTTGCAAATTTGGTACTGTAGACAGTTGTTTTGTGCTGCAGAATGCATACAAAGTATTTAATTTTGTTGCGATTTTCTTGTGGTAGATTTAGCTTAAACTTGAGTTTTTCCATGGTTACTCTAGCTACAGCTTCGTTAATGGGTTCAGGTATTCTGTCCAATTGGTTGATTAGGACTTGCGTTCTGGTTTCTGTAATAATGAAAGGAAGATTAGTGATTTTTTTTAAAATGGTTATTGTGCTACTTACTTGAGACAAGTAAAATCCTTTCAGCTTCCATATGCGCTAAACTTCCAATAAATCTCGGTGTCTTCAAACCATATTTAAGCATTTTTTCGGTTTGTCCTATAATATGCTTATTAATATAAATGTGTTTTTTAATTTGTTTTTGCCCTTCCTCAGTATAGATCTCTATGCCCAAATTAGTAATGTCTTCAAATGAAACATGACTAAAAGGTTCTTCAATCAATTCTGGCCTGATACTAACGTCCTGAGAATTTACGGTAACACTGTTATCTGAAATGGGAGAAGACGTACAGGAAAGTTTCAAAAGGCCCTTTATGGACCTTCTAGTTTTACGTTTACGGATATTGGTAATGGTGCACATTGCTTGAGGATATTGACAGTTTTCCGATGCTTCTGTTCTTTGTATTTCGTCCCCAATAGCGTTATGTAAAAATTTGCTTTCGTCAAAGTTTGATGAGTCTTCATTCAATGAAGTATTTGTTTGCTTGTTGGTAGAAGCACCTTGACAATTGACATGCACACGGTTTGTAGTTACTTCAGCTACAAATTGTTTATAGAAACCTTGGTCCTTTTCTACAGTTTTGTTTGTCTCTGAATCCAATCCTGAATCCGCGCTGCTGTTCATTTTATCTCTTTTTGCCTTTTCCAATTTAAACTTTTCCATTAATTCTGCAATTACTTGTGAATATCTTTGCTCTTCCACGGAAAATTTTGATTTCCTCAATTTTTGCATAAGATTTGTGTAAGAGTGTTTGTATTTTTCAAAGCCATTGCTTTGCTTCCCGGAAAAAGTTTTTTGTTTCATCGGTCGGAACTCAAGTGTTTTTGGATATGATATATCAGTTTTTCTCTTAATTGGAGTGCTTTGAGCTGCAAGGGGCACAAATGTTGTTAATTTGTCAATCCTTGTTTTGACGGAATTCGAAATATCAGGCATTTCATTGTGATCGCTGTCACTTTCAGTTGGAATACTATAACTTCCAGAAGTGATGCTGTAATCACTTTCAGTTACTGATGTCGACGAATCCAGGCTGAAATATGAACTGTAAGATTCGCACATTTCTGCTGGTGAAATTGAACTGCTTGCTATTGAAAAGTATTCTGATACAGCATCGTCTATTAAACTAGTATATTTGGCGTGTGAATTTTCTGTAACTTCATAGGCGCTCCGTACGCTCTCTGAGGAGATGTTAAGTGCTTTTCGTTTAGGATCCAAAAAACCATAGGCATAATCCGTAATTTTTAGGTTGATTGACTCGCTTACTCCTTGGAAATAAAAACTATCGGGGTTCTTAATCTAAGGAAGAAAAAAACATCTAGTTAAGTTTTGGGATGAGATATTAAACAATTATTGTGTTAGATTTGTAAAAAAAATCGATAAATTGAAATTTTGACTTATGAAACAGACACCTTGAATAATCCATAATTCATTTTTCAAGTTTTAATAAGCGATGTGGGGTAGTGACGGTAGTGTCCTGATTATTTTCATATAGGGTGAAAAACTAAAAGGTCGGATGATAGAGATAAAACCGCATGAAAGTCTGTCTTATTTATAGGGGTTGGGTTAGTTTAAGATCTATCACATTCAACAGAAAAATCTTAAAAAAGAGAGGCTGTCATACTGTCTTGGTAGAGGCCTAAAAATACTCGGTCAGATTGGTTTCAAAATCGGAATCTGTTGAAAGTATCAAAAAACTAAAGTAAGGTTTTGATCCCTCTCCTTGAGATTCTGGATGGGGTAACAAGGTGTTTAATCATCAGTAGACAATTTCACACATAATTGTAAAAAAAGAAAAAGTTTTTATGTGAAAACCTAATTTCCCAAAAATGGAAGATATTTTAGATCTAGGTAACCATAGATTGATGAAATCATAAATATACTCCTGGACAAAATTATCGCACCACTGCTTATGGTGATGCTTATGTGCAGTGGTGCGATAATTTTGTCCAGGAGTATATAATGGCAGGAAAAAACCTTTTAAAACTACTATAAAGGAACCTGAGGAATGGAAAAAAGCTATTGTGATACTAGTTCATGAAACGGTGAATCATGAGAATTACAAAAACCACATTGAACTTCTTCATACTCAGACAGAAAAAAATTTATATAACAAGAATAACAAAATATTATGGAAAACCTTTGTCAAACCCTTGGTCAAACCAGAAGACAAAAATTTAATTAAAGAAATTATCCTTGAAGATATAATCAGAATTAGTGAAATTGTTAGTCCTAGATAATTAAATGAATAATAATTATTAAACCCGTATCACATCTGTGTATTTCTTCATGTAGTTCAGGGTGCCAAAATTATTATGTTTTTCATAATGCTGATTTATGTTGCGTTTGAAGTTTTTCGGTTGTCACCCTGAACTACATGAAAAAATACACGGAAAAATACACAGATGTAATACGGGGTTTACTTATGTACCCATCAAGAGTAGATCAGAGCTGGGCAGGGCTTGAGTGCTTTGTGCTTGCGAAAGTGCTTGAAGCACTTTGAGGGCTTGAAAGCCCTGTGCTTCAAGCTCTTCTATAGATTTGTAATTGGGGCTTGCAAAGTCAATTACTTTAGAAAAGTGCTTGGTAATTTGTAATTGAAAAAAGTAATTCAAGCCCTTTCAATGAGCTTCAATTACTTTTAGAGGGCTTGAAGCACTTTTGGGAGCTTGAAGCCCTTTGAAAGGGCTTGAAGCACTTTAAGAGGGCTTGAAGCACTTTTGGAAGCTTGAAGCACTTTGAAAGGGCTTGAAGCACTTTAAAAGGGCTTGAAGCACTTTGAAAGGAATTTGAATTGACCATCACTCAACCTATCCCCCACTTGAAAATTTTCGATCGAGTTTTGTCCCTTAATTTTTTTTTTCTATTATTTGAACTTGAACCGTCTTATGTCTTTTCTCTCTTAACAATGGAGGTTTTGGGTTTCAGCTTAGAATGAAACTAAAAAAAAAATTAATGAACTTATTATTCAAATAAATAATTAATTTATATTGGTAACCTATTTAACTTTATCACTGGATTTTTTCCACTTTTCCCCATTGAACATTTTGAAAACCTTAAAATTGAATTACGATGTAGTACCCCAGAACTACATCTCAAAAAAAAAAACATACTACTGCTACTCTGTGAAATGTAAAGTTCGTCTCTACTATACCAATTCTGTGTGATGAGTGTACGCGGTAGCTTATGCCACTTCGAGAATTTTATTACAAATTCAAAGCAAAGTGCTTTACACTTTGAGAATTTTATTACAAATTCAAAGTGCTTTAGGCGCATTTAAAGAGCTTTAAGCACATTTAAAGAGCTTGAAGCCCTTTTCAAGGCACCCCAAGCACTTTTGATGTGCTTCAAGCACTTTTCAAATCACTTTGAGGGCTTTGTGCTTGTCAAGCCCAAAGCACTTTGAGGGCTTTGTGCTTGTGAAGCACTTTTGAAAATAAAAAGGAATTTGTGCTTGAAATTGAAGCACTTTGATAGAGGGCTTAGGGCTTAGTGCTTCAAGCCCTTTTACTGAGGGCTTTGCCCAGCTCTGGAGTAGATGATATAGTGAATTTCAATAATGATTTCGGAACGATGGCAAGGAAATACTTGCCAAGGAATATCATGAATGTGCTAATGATGATTTTGGTATTATTAGAGGATATAAGTAAGTTGGTAAATTTTTTTTAAATTTGTGGACAAGACCTAAACTTATTAAAAAAACATTTGTTAATAAATCCAACAATACACTATTCGGTTACAAAATTTAGTTCAAAATAATCAACTTCTTCATAGATTAAACATTTTTACCCTGATTTAATCCAAAAGTAATACATAAATATAAAAAAAAATATATAGAAAATATAGAAATTAGTAGTGTAAAAGTCCATTTTTAGCGGTAGAGGGAATGTATAATCAAAATGAGGTAAGTAGATGTAGTCGTTCTCCACAAAATAAAACAAACATTCAGTAAAATGTATTATGCATTTCGACTGTTTATCCAGTCATCATCAGATACTTAGAAAGCAGAAAAATTGTTGAAACAAAGACAAACAAACAGTTATTTGTTATCTTGTGGAGAACGACTACATCTATATAGTTACCTTATTTTGATTAATATAGAAATTGTTTACTTTTTCCATTAAAATGAAAAAAGAATACCTACGTAAATAAATAAATACACAAAAACTTACCGATACCCAAGAAGGCTCCATATTTTATCAACTTCTTCAAAATTATTATACAACGCAAACAGTTTTTCCTCTGACAAAACTTCTCAACTTGCAAAAAATACTTTACACTTCAACTGTATCAGAGCAACTATTTTTTCAAAATGTTGCCTTCTAAAATCTGAAGAAACCTTTCTCCTGTACCTGTAAAATTGATTTCAAGTAGTAGTTAAGTAGGTGAGAACCACCCTTATTCAAATTGACACCTTCTAATTACATTGATTTTTCCACATTTTGCATTTCATTGACACCCTCTTGGTACCTGTCTATTGTATTTGAGAAATTGACACCCTTTGAGTACATTTTAATGATTTTAGGAACAAGACTTAAACTGTGAAGTCACATTTTGACTAAATATTATGCTAATTATTTGATGTGGGTCTGGGTAATTAAGGGCTAGTAAATCTGAAAATGTAAATTATTTGGAAGAAATATATTTTTGAGTTGTTGGTAAAATATGATAGAATCCTGTTGAACTGTCCAAAAAGGCTACTATATGTTTCAGGCAGGATTAGGGGTATTCTACGGGTAGGCTTCTCATACGAATGAAATGTAGTTGAAAAGGACGGTTAGTTTTGGTTCGACAGCGAGATATTTATTAAATGAGACAACCAAGCCTCTAGAATTTGTAATTGAAGTATGAAAGATTGTGGAGAATAAGATCCTGCGCTTCTCAGAAAGAATCCATTTCAAAGCATGTATGCTTCTTGAGAGTTTCGGTTTTGAAGCTTTTTCTGAAAAAGTTGCCAATTTTGAAACAACCAAGTGTAATAGAAGCGAGAAACTTTTTTTCTCGTTACAGGCTTTGAATTCTTTTAGTTTTTACTTTAAAAAATTGGGGAGGGAAGAAACGAATAATTCAAGAGCAAAAATGGCAAATATAGTTCGAAATCTTGCAATGTCATTCTGAAAAAGAAACGCCGATGTAGAATATCTGTTCACAGTCCCTAGGATGAATAAAAATACAATAGTGGAACTTTTTGGGTCAAATTATTTATCGTTATCATTAGGAAAGTGTTTGTTAAAAATTCGCTTACTTCTCTAAAAGTTCCTTTAGCAGCTGCAACCAGTCAAGATTCTTTGATACTACCATCAGGAACATGGAACAATATAACAGGCTGTTCCCTGCATGTATATGCATTAGCAGGTGCATATGCAACATCAACCTTTAAAGAAAAAGTGCAACAACAGTTCAGCTATTATATTTGTAACTTTGAGAAATCCCTTATGTTGAACTTGAATAATGTCTCCATTTTCCAATTTTTTCAATTCTGGATCTCCATAAGCACCTCAAACTCTTCTGGTTTCATGTTTCACATATTGTTTAAAATCTTTATCTTTTTCTAATAAAGGTTTGCTTATAATATGTTCAAAATAGACACAATAAGTTGGGGTAAATAGGGATTAACCGGTTTCAGCCAACCACGTAAGCTTAGGCGTTTTTTTATAATACATATTGTAAGATGATCCTTCGATGGTGGTTATTTTGCCACTTTCTTTGTTAATCTTTTGAATAAGCAAATTACCCCAATTAATAAAGCATTTTCACCTTTCTTCAAACTATCTACATGATCTCTATCAATAAGAACTTTAGGTCTGACCCAAAATTCTTTATTTCCAACATCAGAATTTTTAGGATGTTTTGGCACCATAAGACATTCTTCTTTAGCTCCATTAATTAACACTGGCACAGAGTCATTGGCATCCACCATCCACTGCACTGAATCTTGGAACAATTGGGTCAATGACTTTCTTGGTAAAAGCCCAAATTTTTTCTCGTTCCATGAAAACTACAGATCTACTTGAACCTTGAGGAATAATAAATTCCTTTAGGTCTTCAACCGTCATGCTTCTTCTTAAAACGCCACGCGCTGCAGGCATCTTAGTATCATCACAGCAGAGTTGGCATACATAAAAACCTATTTCAAAAACCTACTGATACAGAAATAATACCTAATTATCAACTGCCCTAATTTGGAAGACATTTTCCAGATTTTTTTTTTTTTTTTCAAAACAAACTTATTCCTGCTATGATGAAAAACATCAAATAAAAATCTAAGATCTTTCACATTTTTCTTATCTATATTAAACAGAATATAAATCCTAAGGAGAAATAGTCAACTGATATTAATCAAACAATTCTTAGATAGAGAAGTAAAAATCCAAAGGAAATTTTCTCAAGATACCTACTATACCTATAGTATAGTAGTAACGTAACTTGTACAGAATTTGCACTAAAAAAGACGAGTAAATAAATATTTGGAACTAAATTAAAATCTTAATAAACAGGTTGGTAGAGAATTTAATTGGCTTTAATTTGAGTTTAATCACGTTGGAATCGAATGAAAATTAACGGAGCTGTGAGGCAAAAGTTATATCAGTGTCATTTTTGGAAAATATTCAATGTTCGATAATTTCAATTTTGAAGCTTCTCAGCTGCAAAACTGTTGAATCCAAATTAAAATCTTAGTTAAAGGGGGTGTGCGCCAAAAATTAAAGTTTTAGTGTAAAAAAATCTAAGAATAACTGTTCAAACCTCGTTATTCTACGATAAACCATCGCTGAGATATACCGCTTTAAAGTGTGGACGACGCTCTCGTGACGTCACGAAAACTTCGTCCAGCGGCGCTCTGCATTGTTAATTTGATTGTTCCCGGCACGCGTGATTGTTTTTTGTTTAGATTATTGCAGGTAACACAGGAAAAACATTATGTAAATTTAATTAAATCCACTTTCTCGTGCGTCGCTTGAGCTTTCGTGACGTCATAGGGTGAGATGCGGTACCTTCATAGAGCCATATCTGCGGTATTATTTGTCATAGAGGGGTGCGGATTTCACTGTTATTCTTAGATTTTTTTTCTCTTTTTTTTGAGATGAAGTTGTTTTTTTGGCGCACACCCCCTTTAATATTAATTACTAGATTTGTGGAGAATTTAATTGGCTTCAATTAAATTGAAATCAGATGAAAATTCACGGAACTGTGAGGCAAAAACTGTCTCAATGTAATTTTTGGCAAATTTTCAATGATTGGTAATTTCAATTTTGAAGCTTCTCAAGTGCAACTGTTGAAACAAATATACAATTTTGTCTAGTTAAGTAAACACAAAAACACAAGAACTATCACAAGAACCTTCAAAAACTCAAAAGCCCAATAGAAATTTTTAGAAACCTGGGTTTTTACCAACCCTGCATCCCAGTCATCTACTAACCCTTTGTTAACTACCAAGTACCAAGTCAACTTTCTTTAACTGAAAACTATGTTCGTCATGGATAATCTGCCGTATTCCCAAATATAATAGTTTTCTTAAGCTCAAAGCTTCTATAAACCAATAAAATATAAAATTGCTTATTTCAGTCATGATATTCCAATGTTCTTAGAGTATGGGTTACACCGAGGGGTGTCTTACGGTCGGAAATAGTTGTACAAATCTCACAATAATATCCGGAAATGTTGAGACATTACGGAAATTTCCAAGCCAACAGCCAACTTTTGTCACCACTATGTACATATTTCAACAAGAAAATGTTTACTTTTAGAAACCCACAGTGAATATGATAGAGATGTTCGGAAATTTTGGGGAAAAATTAAAAATCTCTCAGAAATTTTCAACATTATCAAATTTTTTTTCCGATATGTCAGAAATTTGATAAGAAATCAGTAATTATTTGGGGAATTAAGGAAATTATTCAGGAAAATGCATAAATTATTCAGGAAATTATAGACATTATAGGAAATACTTTTAAAAAAATGTGAATATTCAGGAAATTTCGGAAATTATGGGCAATATCAGAAAAACATTTCCAAAAAGGAAAAAGGTGTCCAAATCTAGGAGCGTGAGCCACCCCTCGGGTTACACCTTCTATTACATCAACTGAGAAAGGAGGCAATAACCAGCGCTCACAGGCTATTCCAAATAGACAAGTTCAAGCCTGGCGATCTGAGGGGACATCTGAGAATCCTTGATCTAATAAAACTGGAGAATGCCAGCAAACCAACTGACCACATGATGGTCAGAAGGTCAGATTGGACTTAGAGATCCCCTTTGCAGTGGTAATAAACGACCGCCAATCAGGGGAGAATAAAGAATTGCCACAAGCAGACAATGCATCTCTGTGGTACACAGATGGATCCAAGCTAATGGAAGGAGCTGGACTGGGCATTTCCGGCCCTAATTTCAAGCTCTCCAAGGCATTGGGTAAACATCTTACAATATTTCAAGCCGAACTGCTTGCCATAGATATATGTGCACAAGAGTGTCTTAACCAAAGCCCCAAAAAAAATACATCTTCATACTATCGGACAGCCAAGCTGCCTTAAAAGCCTTAAGGGCTTTCAAATGCACGTCAAAACTAGTCTGGGAGTGTAAACAGACCCTAAAACCACTAGCGACACATAACTAGGTAACGCTAATGTGGCTGCCTGGTCATCGAGGCATAGAAGGAAACGAAGAAGCAGATGGCCTCGCAAAGGAAGGGGCCTCAACACCATACCATGGACCATAGCCCTACTGTGGCTTAATGAAAAGCCACATCATGGAAGAACTCAATAAATGGGAGAAAGACCAACTGTCATCATATTGAAGGCACACACCGGGAATCAGACAGTCAAAAAGGTTTATTACCCTTTCAGCAAAAAGAGCTGAACAGCTCCTAAACATGAGCAGACCAGACATCAGATTGGTGGTGGGACTGCTTACAGGACACTGCCCAGTAAAATACCATTTAAGGTTAATGGGCAGAGCGGAAGACGATCTCTGCAGATTCTGCTCAGACGCAATAGAGACCGCAGAGCACCTGCTCTGCGAATGTCCAGCCCAATTCTGCAAGAGGCTCAAATTCCTTGAGGGGGCAACACTGTTACCAGAAGAAGTGGGCCAACTGACCCAGGAAAATAGCTTCCTTCAGCAGAAGTCTACGCTTCCTGGAGACAAATTAAGATGTAGAGTCACGCACAAAATATCTGCAAAGGTAGCAGTGCTGAGCGGCTGAAAAGCCGAAAGGACTCCCCCGAAATCTACAAAAATCTACATCAACTATCGGACAAGAAAAGTCATACGTTGGATAGACTCTATAAAAATCTTAGACCATAAAAATAAATAAGAGAGTTTGACTTCCGATACTTGACGGAAATCCATCACACATTTTAAAAGGAAACAAAAAACTCATGATTAGGGGTATTCTAGGGATAGGCTTCTCATACGATAGAAATTAAGTTACAGGACGGTTAGTTTTGGTTTGACAGCGAGATATTTCTAGAGGGAGGCAACGAAACCGCGAGAATTTGTGATTGAAGTATGAAAGATCTCCAAAGTTCAAATGGGCCATCGTTATTGAAATTTGCTAGAAAAACGATGCATTTCAAAGCTTGTATACCTTATGAAAGTTTCAGTTTTGCAGCTTTTTCTGAAAAAAGTTTTACAGAGCGCCAATTTTTAAACAATCAAATGAAATATGGATGGAAAAACTTTTTTTTTATTATAGGCTTTCAATTCCTATTGGCTGGTTCTATTGGTTCTCGAGTTATCTCTATTTTTCCATTTAGACGAATAGAAAAAAACACAAAGGTCGTGCAATACCAAAAAATTGAGTCGAACAGAATGAGAAATTGAGAGAAGGAATTTGAGAGAAAATAAAGTGAATTCCATTTAAAAAAGTGAACATTGACATATTTTTTTACTTTGTGTTGCTCATTTGTTGAATCTAATTAATAATTATGTTTTTTCGGTTCAGATAAAATGTTACAACTTTTGTATTTACAACTTTCACCTATTACCTGTAATTACGGCTGTGGGGTATCAAAATATAGTGACTCACCCTGTACTTATACCTACTGAAATATTTATTGGTGAATGGAGAGAACTTTGCGTGTACATTTTTTTTATGAAGCAGATACTAGTGATACCTACTAATAAATTTTAATTCAACTTCTTATTGTTTAGGACCTTATTGCAATTAGGATTTTAAAAAAAACTGTTTCTCAAAACACATTGTTTTTATTAAAAATACATAAGAACTAACCCAAACAAGCATCACAATTCATAGTAAATCCTCACATAACAAAATCCGAAAGAATTAAGAGTTAATATAAAATAAATTGCAGAATATAAGTAGGTATACCTCTAAAAAATAGGGGCATGAGCATAAGTATGACATTTTTACAATAAACTTAAAATATGTAATTAAGTAGGTACCTAGGTATACGGTATACGTATACCTATGAGTATACCTATACATATTAATAGGCTATAAACTTAAACCTAACTATATACAAAAGAGCTTCAAATAGTATAGTATTGTATAATATCTACAATTTTTGTCCTTACTGTTATAGAAGAAAACATTTTTTTTCTTTAAAATTAATAACTAAACTAAATTTTGACGCTTATTTTATAGTTTTCATTTAATAAATAAAAAGTAGGAATCTTTAAAAATATTTGGCAAAAACTGGGGAAAACTAAGCCAAAATAAATTAAAACATTTACAAAGTTCGTACATTCAATTTTTAAAAGTATGCCATTGATTATTCAATCTCAAAACAATATCCAAATGTTTCGACCACGAATCATAATCATTATCCGGACTCAGAAATATCCGCTTGAAATTACTTTTTTCCTCGACGAACAATCTCAATGTTTTTTGACCCATATATTTGACAACATCATCGTCGACGCCTTTGCACAACGTCAAATCCACAGTACCGAGAGGAGTACCA